ATGTGCCAGCTAAAATATAGCAAAAAGAGAAGAAAACGTAGATCAGAAGAAATGGACCCATTACCAGAACATGTACACAGCTTTCTATTTGATCAGTGTAACAAAATGCAAATCAAATTCCAGAAATACCTCAGAAGGTTTTCGATCTTCATGTCTGGAACACGAAGCCCTCCGATGTCGAGATCTGGAATGCTGGGACCAGGTGGACACACCTAGGATACAGAAAGGATCATTGCAGACACTGCTGCCATCTGTCAACAAAGCCCTTTGCTCTCTCTCTGCACACCCAAGACGGCCACTTGACTTCAGCGGGACTACGTGAGTAAGGCAACCCAGAGTCAGGCTTCCGTGACAACCCTCCAAAAGACTCCTTTGAAATGACCCAGAAAATAAAAGTTACTCGGTCATAAGCTTCTGTGATCACTCTTCTGGTCTTGGTTTGTTTAGTTTTCTACCGATACGCGCGTGTACTGCCTGCACTTATCAGCCTTTCACTCAGCATTTGAAGAAAGCGCCCTCAAAGCACGCTTCCCCCTAAGCATCAATAAACCACTTTCCGCAGATTAATAAGTGACCAGGAGGTCTGCTGATAACCTGGGATGTACTCTTCGAAGCCAATGGATTGAAATCCTAAATATCTGCGTCCGTTACCCAGTTTTCACCACACCAAGCCTTTTCACAATGAAGCACACCGCCACGCACACACAGCAGAGCCCACAAAACAAGCTGTGGTCTCTTCTCCTGAGCAAATCTCTCACTGTGGTTGTACGATTTTTGTCTGCATCGTTATTCGTTACATTCCAAACGAATTATACCTTTTTACCTTGAAACCTTTTGACAGAGACTCTGTCAGCTTTCAGAAATATTGTAACAGGAGAAAAGGAAAAAGAGAAAGAATCCACGCTCCGTTGACAAGGCAGTGCTTTGACACCAGAGTATATTATACCTGTGCAAATCAACGAATTTTAATTCACTGAGATGTACAGGTATGGCAGGTATTTTCCACTGCCAACTACACAGCAGTAATGAGAAAAAACAGCCAATACATTCTTACGGGTTGGAGAGATGAAGGACTTGTAATCAGGTCTATACGACAGGGAAGCTAGGACCTACACGTGGCACGCTGAAGGATGAACACAGATTTTTAACGCCATTAACTCTGGCATTAACAGTAGACAAATAAACCAGAACTGATGCAAAGGCCTTCCCACACCGCTCATTGCTTCACCACCTGCGCCCAGAGCTGCGAAGAGGAAACAGCGTAAGGCGACAGTCCACGAGAGCAACACCGCCTCCCATCACCCAGCAGGCATCTCTTGGGGATCAGAAAGCACTGGTCAAGAACAGATTGCGTAAGATGGGGTAAGTTCTCTATCAAAAACAAACAAACAAAAATTTCAAAGTGAAGTGACTGAGCAACAAGTCATCAGAAGAATTACTTAGGTTTAGTTATGCCTTTGTCTTCTCCTTTCAGCTAGCAACACATTAAAGGAATCTGCCCCAAGCAAAACCACTCTAACACAGCACTGAACAACAGATGTCAGGCAGAACATGCTTTATGGTCAAAACTAAAGCAAAGGACAGACCGAACAGCTAAAAAGCCTATCTTCTGAGGTAAGACTACAGAAAAGATCATTTTAAGTAAATATTAGTGTTTTAATATAAAAGCCAGTGATTGGAAAGGTTTTTAAAACGTCACAGGCACTTTTCCTAAGCCCCTCTATTTTACAATTACAATTTTCTGTTTCTGTGAAGGGAAAAAAAGGGAAATAAAAGTGACCAACTACCATTTACTAATCTGCATGGAAAGTCAGACTCCCAAGATCATTTAACTACAATTCCATCTAAACATTGTCTTGAAAACTAAAGAAAAACACACAAGCAGCAGTACAAACTCATTCTGAGGATCCTATCAGCCTGTACCTAAACTCAACCTAAAAAACTCAGAGGGGAACATGTGAAATCACCCAAAAAGTCTGTCAGATACGCAGCTAAAATCCACGACAGAAAAACAGATTTTTCCTGCAAGATAACAATATAATTATTAACATTTTAACATTCAGATGGGATTTCTCTAATCAACAGCCTCACTACAACACACAGACCACAGACATACCCACATGGATTAGTATTTGGTTCTCGTGGGTTTTGGTATTTTCCAGTGGTAAGTCACTAATACCTGACCAACTCTCTGCCACCAAGGCGTTCACCTAGTTAGACCACTCCCCCAGCACGTCAGACACGTTGAAATTTCTAATCCATCTGTGGATCCGAGTGTTTTGTACACTGCTGGACCTGGGGGAGGGAGCCTGCAGACAAGAGAAGGCATTAAGGACGACAGGCTTTATGGGCAAAGTGGGGTTTGCTTCCGAAGTTTCTGTGGGAGAAGAGCTGGTGAGTGTGGAGGCTTTAATACAGCTGCTCCCAAGTAATGCATGCATCTGGCAAAATGAGAGCAGCAGCAGTACGATGTATTCCTGGATCTTTACCCCTGTGCTTTAATTCAGCTCTGATGACAACTTACCAGAAACTGAAGACAACTACACAAGCATATGGGCTGCCGCCTTTTTTTTTTTTTTTTTTTTTTTTAAAAAAGATGGACTTCCAGGTCTCTCTCATGCCACGGAGCAGCTACAAAAGTTAGGAGCAAAATAATCCCTACCGTATTTGTTTACTGTGTCATCTGCAGATGCTCCACATGAGAACAGTGCCTTAAACGCGTACTTCAGCTTTCAGGCACAGTCCATGTACGCAAGGGTTAGGCCCCTGGATTAATTAACTATTCCATGCAACAGGAAAGGCCAGCTCAGCATCAAAACTACAAAATCTTCATTTTCAATTACTTTTTTAAAGCACTACAGGAAAGCACACTACATAAAATTTCCATGCACAAGGGACAATTCAAACACAGCCAGCCTTCCCCAGGATATGTTATAATGAGTACTTTTTCCACGCTAACTAACTTCCTACAACGAGTAAGGGAAGAAATAGTTTCTTACATAGTTCTGCAATAGCTGTTTCCTTGCACGCAAAATTGGTGAATGCAGAGTGAAAACACATAACGTTTTCAGTAAGTTACTGACGAGACCGTTGTATTTCTCCGAGCAGTGTAAACCGACTGCACATAATGCTATGAGAAAAAGGTGGAAGAATTTCTCATGGGACTGGGATTTTACTACCCTCCAAGATCTGTAACTGTAGCTAACAGATGACCTTTGGCAAGGGCTTCACTTCAACAGGGAAAACATTTACTCACTGAATAAACAAACCCCAGCTATAAGGCAGGCATTCACAGATTCAGACAACCACCACCACTTCGACAGAAAAGGGCAGGAACTTGAAGGAGCCAGACAAATGACAGTAAAATACCCAGCCCGTAACAGTATTAAATTTAACTACTTTTGAAATCGCAAGTAAGAGTTTCAACTCTGCTTCCATTAAAGTTGATGGCAAAACATCACTGCCGTCACCAGTGCCAAGACCAGGTCACTGCATTACCCAAAGCTGCTTTCATTAATAAGCAATCCACCCACTCTGAGCATACCAATAAAAGCGCAGGAGGAAAATGAAGGACGTTATTTGTCTTTTAAGCATCCTTTCCATGTTTTCATACCTAATCCAGAAGAGGGACCTCACTGAAAGAAGAGGTTCACAGGCAATTACAGCTACTGCAGTGATGAATGATCTGATTTTTACATCTAAATACATGAAGTAAGAACCATTCCTGGATCGTGGGGAAGGAACAATATGCTGTGATCAAAACAAACACAGGATTCAAAACAGCTCTTCCGTATTAGAAAAGCACATGAAACCTAATTGAGTTATTTTAGAAAGGTTCCAGACACTTTTCACCAAAATTAGACTCTTGCATTAAGCACCCAGAATGACGACATTCATCAACAGCTTTCTGCATACCAGCCTTACTCCCAAACTGGATTAGGATCACCAAAACTAGACAAACAACTAAAAATCAAGACAGAGGTAAACCCAGTTTTGCTAAAGTCACAAAAAAACACGAGGGAAGCCTGAATCACTGGAATTTGGAAGATGCAGAACTTTTGTAAGATAACATATCCCTCAGGGGAGAAACGAGTTCTACGGCAGATGGAAAATTAATGAGATGTTAAGAGAGCCTGTACTACCAAAAGACACGTGAGCAGCAGCGAATATGAAAAGTACACAACTCCAAAGCAGGAAGCTAACCACGCACACCCAAAACATGCATCACTATCATCATTAGACATCAGAGATAAAAGATGTCTTAATAAGTGCCTAACCTGTTACATGACGGTGCAAATTAAGGCCGAACATAGTAGCTCGGCTAGCATCATCACTCCAGGAGATACACCCAAGACCATTTCGATTCTTTTATAGTCAGGACCCTTTCAGACAGCTTAGGCGTTGGTGTGTTTTACAAGGTTTTCATCACTGAGAACGACGGGAGGAGGATTATACTCCTACCGCACGTCTCAGTTTTCCCTTCGCATTTACCCACTTTGAGACAAAAAGCAAAAAGAAATCCCAAAGCACTAACAAGGCGTAACTCACAGCCACAGAGGCGAAGCTCTAACACACTACTGGTGCTGGAAAGGCGACTCTTAAGTCTTGAGTAGGAAAACTTTCTCTTCCTCTAGGCTGTCACATATACCTTACACTGTAAATACAGTGGGTTTATAATACCGCTGCAGGGTGCATAGAACACATACACCTCCTCATAAGGAAAGAAAGCAATCGAGGAGTGTCGATTCTTTTTTCCATTATTTGTACTCAAGAACACACACTTCCCGAAAGGAAAAACATAATCAATTTTAACTGTATCAATTTATTAAATGATCTGTCAAGAATATGTTTTGATTCCAAAAAAGCCCACCAAAACAGAAAATTCCTCGGGACCAATAAAGCACTTCAAGCCCTCGAGGGATTCTGCCCCACAACTAACAGTGCTCAGCACAGGCAGAAGAGGCGCAGCTATACGGTATCACGCACGAGGCCGTTGTAAAGCCACCTGCAGGGCACCCAGCTGCGTCCCTGGAGTACTACCTGCTGCTACAGCCTCTGAACACTTCAAAGCCTCACATCACGGGGCGTCTGAAAGCACTTCTCCCACCAGAAATACACTCCGGCTACACCGTTACAGCAGGCAGCACAACAGAGCAAAACATCCCCGACGTGGATGGATGTCTGGCTGTCACTTCTGCTTAACACCGGCATT